GTGTAGATCTATGTGTATGTGTATGTTATGTATGATTTCATGTATGTATGTGTGATTTTATGTGTTTATGTGGTAAATATGTAACAAAAAGGGAAGAAATATCGAGATCTATGGCACAAGAGAGGAAACAAACATGATAATATACTTTTCATTGAACAAGTCAAGAAAAGTTTCTATCTAAAGTCATAATAAACATAATGCAACATAAAACTCATTTTTGGGGCTATAATTGTCAAATAAACAAAAGTTGGGTTGAAATTTGTCATTTACGATTTTTTTAAGGACTAAAAGAGTCAAAACAGTAAAAATAAATGTTTTTATGAATATCATACTCTTTAAAGGGCTAGAAATGTAATTTGTAGTTTAATGGGCCAATTTTTGGGCTTTTCGGCCCATTGAGCCAAAAATTGCGAAAAACATAATTTTCAAGGGATTGAAATGGTAAACTTCTCAAAACAGAGGGTAAAATGGTAAACAAAACCAATTCAGGGGTTAAAATGATTTTTTTTCCAAATAAGGATCAAAAATGTAAACTTTTTGGATTTTGGGCCAAAATAGTAAAAGTTGCGAAAAGTGTGGACTATAACTGAAAAACTCTTTACTGGAGGGGCTGAAACTGCCAAAGAGTAAATTTTGAACTAAAAACATCACTAAAACAAGTCTATGGGTCAAAAATGTAAAGAAAATGGTTTAAGGACCTAAAATGTTTCTTTTTCAAATTAAGGGACTAAAATTGTCATTTTTATTAAAGAAGGGCTGAAAAGGGTCAAACCAATATTTTGAGCCAATTATTTTATTATTAAGATATTTGAGTCAAAAAAAAATATACCAAACTATAACTCATGAAAATAGAAAGATGAATATACATAAAATTCCAAATATCGTTATAAACAACCAACCGACCTCGTGCCGATACGAAAATAACAATCGATCAATCAAACTTTCCAACAATTATACTATACCTAAAACAAGTAAATATTCAAATCTTTGGGCTTGAAAGTCTCAAATCATGTTTATTGGGCCTTCGTGACCCATTAACATAACTTTTGAGCCCAACGAATAAAAATAAACGTTATTGGGCCTCATGTGACCCAATTACATGTTTAAGGGACCCTCAATGACTTTCAAGTGCTATTGGGCCTCAGTGGCCCACTAGCATTTCTAGTAAGGTCCAAATAAATCAAATGCGAAATGGGCCAACGTGTCCTTCGTATACCCAACAGCCTTAAATAACACACGTAATTAGCAGGACCTAGTAATCCTCTTATCCTCGTTTGTTAGTCTTACCTTCAATTCAAGTAATCAAATACAGGTCGTTAATCAATAGTAATCAATTTCGTTTGGATTAAGTGAGTAATAGCGGGCGACACCTCTAAGGGTCGTTCGTAGTCTGTAGTTATAATCAAAGTCTCCTGGAAGGAGAGCGAGAGTTTGTAGGTATTCCCATACACAAATATTTACATTTTTTTATTTTTTTCATCCCATTATCGAATTTTTTAATGGTATAGGCTTTGCATGTCTCCCAAAATAATGCGTGCATTGTATCGCTGCTTCCAAATTTTGCTGAAATGTTGAAATACAAATGGATACCACATATTCCATGATAGGCGTGAGGAAATATATTTGCAATTGACGTCGCTATGGATGGAGCCCTATCAGATATGATTGTAAGGTCTTCCAAGTTGCCTATACATTCACGTAGCTTTCGAAGGAACCAGGACCACGTCTCAGTACATTCACTTTTGCAAATGGCATAAGCAACAAGCATGATTTGGTTTTGACCGTCCATTGTCACTGCGAGCAACATCGTGCCTTTGAATTCACCCTTTAGGTGACCACCATCAATTATTAGGGTCGGCCTACAATATTTGATGAACGCTCGTACCTACAATTATTTTTCATTGCATTAACAAATACCAATTAGGATTCATATGTTATATTTGTTATAAAAATTAACACTGCTTACCGAGAAACCCAACGCGATAAACACGAACTCAAACCGATCATCATCGTCTACTCTTATCTGAGTAACAGTTCCTGGATTGTGCTTGACCAAGTTGTGCAGATACACTGGTAGTTTGGTGAATGAATCCTCTTTGGTACCTCTTAACATCAACAACGCATACTGTTTTGCACGCCATGCCTGTTGGTATGAGATATTGATTGGAAATTTCGAATTGATGTCCCTAACAATTTCATTGCCCCGATAAACTCTATTATAGTCTCCGGCCAATACTTCAGCGATAAAGTGGCCGGGTACCTTTTTCTTTGATTGTCGATGATTAGACTCCAAATTTGTCGCACAACATGTGTGTTGGTCAACAACTTTTGTGACTTGGAAAGCAGTAGTCGATTGGATTCCCCTTGCCCTAACCATCCATGAACAATTTTTAACCAAACAAACAACCTCGAACCTTCCTTTGCTCGATCTGGTAGTCTTATACTACTTACCTTGTTCCATGCATTGTCTTCCGATTGCAAGCTTGAGCAACTCTTTGTCATCAAAAATGTCTAAAACCTTAATCTCTTCACTTATATCCACCCTCTGACATGGAATGTTCACATCAGCGTTTACAGGACACGAAGGAAAGGGGGCATACCATGAAACATGGTATCTGAATAAATAAGCTTAGATTCGTCATCTAATTCTTCTCCGTTAGAATCACTATCTAGGCCGGATATATCCAACTTGTCACAATCCGCAAACTCGCCATATCCTTTTAGTTCACCATCATGCAAAAACAAAACTTCCTGTTTTCCAGATTCATTACCAACCTTATTCACCACGGCTACTGCTTTTTTTTTTGTCAAATGAATCATTTACACCAACATCATTAACACATGCACCAACATCATTATCACCGATATACTTATAATTCTCCGGTGTAACATACATAATCGGTTTTGGCACTACATTTACATTTTCAGCAACACTATGATATTGACTTTTACTTGGACTTTTAAAATTACCTATTGGGTTGTTGCTCCCTTTTCCACTTGATAAATTTGCTACAGATGCCTTTCCTCTATCATCCATTTCGTTCGGCCAAACGCCTTCTTCAACCACCGCATACACAGACACATATTTATCTCCAACATCATTTATTACCTTCATCAGCTGTCTAATATCTCGATCATCAACAATACCACAATAATAGAGTTGTTCTGGATGTTGATAGGCCAAACTAACTTTTGATTCTTCGGGAAGACCCATCTTGCACTTGACCAACTGAACAAATTCGGTGAACGTTGTGTTTTCGTAAAATTCAACACCTAAATAAAACATTCTCGGATTGTATCCCAGTGGCCAAACATATGATAATTGGGAATTAACAAACTCCCATCTTCCATCCGTAATGAGCAATACAAAATACTCGTTACAACTCATTATCTTAATTTTGAGGATAAAGAAGCCAGAGAGAATAAAATTTCCAAAAATATAAAATACTTAATATATATAAGATAGGTTGAAAACAGTAGTAGTCCAATTTAACAAAAAAGTAGTCAAATTTAGCAACAAAGTAGTCAACTTTACCCAAAAAGTAGTCTACTCTTTTCGTCAGAGTTGACTACTGTTAAAATTAAAACAAAATAATTCAAACCAAATAATTGTTAAAATTTAAACAAAATAATTGTTAAAGTTATTGTACATATTATAAACACTCTTTTTTATACTCTATATTACAAAAAAATAATAATAATAAAAAATAATAAAAAAAAATTTAAAAATTAAAAATTAAAACCGTAGTTTTTTTTTGGCCAAAATAGTAGATAAAACCCCCAAAATAGTAGATAAAACCCCTCCCAAAAAAAAATCGTAGCTTTTTTTGCGAAAACCGTAGCCTACGGTTTGGGAAACAGTAGGTTTCGAGAGGAAACCGTAGGTTTTAAAAAACCTACGGTTTTGAATGTCAAAAATGAATTTTTTTTTTTATACAAAACGCGAAACAGTAGACGAAATGGTGAAACAGTAGGCGAATCTCGAAACCTACGGTTTCGTGGGCTATTTTTGGCTAAAAATTGTTAATTACCCCATTAATTTGGCTAGATTAGTAATTACCCCATAAAAATATATTTATGTTCTTAATAATTAACTCCTCATTAAGATCTCGTTAAAATTCCAAATACAGAGTGTCATTTTTTCTAATAAATTTGAGTTCTTAATAATTAGCAAAGCACATTAATCTGTCTTTAAAACACAACCACAAATCTTGTTTTATCTGTTAGGCTTGGTTAAAATTGATGAAAAAAATTTCATTCATGTTCATTAATATGGAGTTTGTATCATCCAAAGAGAATTTTTAGTAACTTGTCAATTATTTGTATGCCCTACAACTTATAACAATAAAACACCACAACTTATAACAATTATTTTTAGTAACCCGCCGAGTACGAACTGATTTATGAATTATTATTATGAACTATTATTATAATGTATTAGTAACTTGTCAATTATTTTTACGCCCTACAACTGTTACACCCCCGGCCGAGGCGGCGGAATATAATGTTTGATTTGAAAATCAAATATAAATGTAAGGATATTTAATGAAAATAATATATTTTATTATTTTCAAAATTCATATTATTAACGATCGACCAATTTATAACTTTATTAAAATGTCTCATCTTCGTGACATATACCCCCAGTTTACGAATGGCAACTGGCATATCATTTCAATTATCGTATTAATATGTGTGCCAATCATTCTATCCATAAAATGTAATATTACAATTTTATACTCCCACTTTACGTTGTAGTTTTAGAAAAGACCATAGATTTTATCAATTTAAATCTTAAACCCTTAAAACTTTATTAATTTTGAAAACTAACAAATAGAAACATATTATTTATTCATAAAAGTTGTATAATTAAAATGATCTCATGAATACATTTACAAGAAGAGTAATAATGAATATTATTAAATATTAATAGAAAAAAATTAATTTGTTAAATAAGAAATACAAACTATAAAACATTAACAAAAATAAAAGGGATAAAAATGAAAATTTGGTTACAATTTCTTTCAGAGGATTGGTATTTCTTATATGTTAAACTGAAAGCGACTTGCAATGTCATTTTGAAAGTAACTTTCCTTAAAAGCAAACATATGATATTTGTTATAAATATAGATTTTATTAAATGACAAGTTGGGAAGAATGGATGAGTGACACATATTATGAGGTATTTGTACTTAACCTTTCTTATTATTATATATATATATATATATATATATATATATATTAAAGTTATGAAGAATAGTAACAGTAAAGTTGCATTTTATTTGTCTCTTTTGGTCCCTGTAGTTGCATTTCTTATTTCTGTAGTTATAGGTCCTTATGTTTTCCTGTATTTGTCACTTTCTTATTTTGTTTCCATTTATTTGCTGTATCCGTCACTCTCTTATCTTCTTTCTATTCCTGGTTATTGGTAAAGATATTTGTATATAATATTTTTTTAATCTATTTCCTGCTTCGTGTCAAATGTTTGTGCTTTCCACGTTTTGTTCCTGATCCTTCCGCTCACTTTATCTTCCTCAGCACAAAACCTCCGATCTTCTCGCATCTTCTTCTTCACCGATCCTGACTACTTCACCGACCTCTATTTGGGTGTTCTCTCCTCTAATTCCTGCTTCGCCAAACTTATGCGTTGCTGAGATAAAGAGAAAAATCGAGAGATAGAGGCCATAAATCGAACCACCAATTCCTTTATCGGCTCCGTTGTTGAACTTCTGCCTTGCTAAAACCCTCGCCGCTCCATCGACCCACCACCTGTGGTACCGCTTCTGATTATAGGACGAATCGGTAGAGTCGGTGGTTCTACCGCCATCGCCCTCTCTAACTTCTCCCTGAACCTTTTCCATTTATCTACTTTCGCTTCTTTTCGTTGCTTTTTGTTGATTTGGGTTTCAATAATTTGTCGGTGCGAGCCAGCCTCTCATAAACCGTCGTTGATTTCAAACATCTCTTCCCTCAAATACGAAGAGTGATAGTCGTTTTCCAGTTCATTTCAAATACCGATTTTGGAAGGTATGTCTTCTCTTTTTTATTTCCCCGTCCCTGTTTGTTCTCCTTCATCATCGCTCCTACTCTTAATCGATTGCCTCTTCCACTGTGTTTTCTTGATTTCGATTTTGGGATTAACGGATTGTATTTCTATTTGGGTTAAATTGTTAAAATCAATATTCATATTTACCTTAGTTAACTTCTTTTCGTTTCTTTTTGTTGTGTTGGGTTTCATTCGCCTAACTGGTTGTGCTGTTGGATTATTTAGGGGTGCTGATGCAAATATTCTACCTAGAAGGTGTTTATTGGTTTCTCTTTCTGTCTTCATTCGTTAATAGTTGAACCTGCATTTATTTTTCTGTTATGATCAAGTTTTCATTCGTGATTTAATTCCTTCTGCTCTTGCATTCTTGCTCAATGGAGGAGAGATTGTGAAGAACTTTCTGTTCCATACTCTCCAATTGCAGGTATTCACTGATTTCGTTACTTACTCTTTAAGAATATTTCTTTTTTGGTTAATGAAGTTGTAAGTTTTTTAATAAACATGCCACGTTATATGTCCACATCAGCGTTGTGTCAACAAAAACCACAGATAATGTCAAACCATGATTTCATAGTTGAAGCATCTTTGACTTTTTTTGTGTTCTTTTGTTGCCAGAGTTTGGAAAAGACAGTTGACTGCCATAGACCTGGTCAAGGGTTGATGCCAGCAAGCTTTAAAGTTCGAAGTGTGGCTCTTGATGGAAATCCGGTGAATTTGAGGATGTTTTGGATCCTGATTTTGGTGAATCAGCGATTGGTCGTGTTGCACCCGTTCATTCCAGTAAATTCATACTTATTATATCATCAGATCATTTGGAATAATTTTTTCTAACATTTTGTTTGCATTGTTCTTATTGGCTGTGGTTAAATGCAGATTACTGTTCACACAACTATTTAATTTCATTTTATTTTACCAATATATGCAACAAAATGGACTCACCTGCTTCCAAAATGGCATACTGAATTACTGATTTATGTGATGAGATGTTTCTTGATGTAACTATGATTGATTGTGTTACTGTTTTTGTGAGTAAAAGGAGAAGATGAACAGGCGGACACCATATGTCGATGCAACTGTGAGCAGTTATGCTACTTCTCAATCTCATGCGTCTGCACAGAGAATGCAACAACATGCTCACACACCTGAATTTCCATTTCGACACAGCAGTGGAATACAATTCTAAACCCAAAGATTAAATTAAATCCAATGTCCCCTCATTCGTATTCCCAAGGTATGTATTTCCTTCGATATCATGATACATGACCGTATTAACCTTATATTCCAACAAACAGTTTTAACAATATTTCCACTGATATAATTTATTCTTTTTTTTGAAAGATGATGGTCGGGTGCTTTCTTTGGGGTATCTTTGGGGTATCGTAGACATGGATAATGAACAATGGTCTTCATATTGCCACCAAATCGAAGTAAATGAAATGTTTATATCTAACTTGAGACAAAGTAAATGACCATTTTACTATTTTTTTAAATGATGATGGATAATGAATGACTATTTTACCCTTATGTTTATAGGTTGTGGAGTCTAGAAGACATTAGTTAAATAAGAATGGTAAAGATATTAAGAAAGTTGGTAAATGAATTATCATACCTTAACAACATCATGTGGTGGGTCATATACGATATAATTAGAATGATAGGATGGATAATTAATGATTAATGTGTGGTGTCGTCTTGTAGATGGCACCCTGAGTTATCTCTTACAAGAAGATGGACTTTGAATAGCTCTGTGTAGCAGCCATCTGCACATACCAGTTGGAAGCACTACGCACATGGAACCACATTGAGTCGACATCATTTAACTACTTTGAACAGGACAATAACTGGACCGTCCCTGCCGAGGAAGCTGTTCGGGTATTTATTATTATTATTTTTGTTATTACTTATTAATTACTAACTATCAATTAATAATGATGATGGTGTAGGAATGTAATGTGGATCCCACAACACATTGCATCATCAGGGACCGGATTAGAAGCGATGGTAAATTTTAACAAATTTTACTTTATATATATTTCCTTATACTTCCCGCTTTTATTTCCTATAAAGACTTTGCAAGTTTATATTTTTAATAAAGATATTCTAGGTTGATGGTCAAATAAGATTATAGCTTATTAAGACAATGTACTTTTATTGTATGTTGAAAGACTAAACATGTTCGTTTTTGGTTTTATAGCATCGGGCCGTTTTTGTAATATTTTTCTACAAAGGGACAATTTTGGTAATGTTTTTATGTCATAGGAACCAACTCTGTAATCTTTTTATCAAAAGTGACTGTTATATAAAATAAATTTGCCACAAGGACCAATTAAGTAGTCAATTTCGGCTTACATTTCCATTCATCCGATTGATGGCAAATTACATAGATTAGCAACATACTTCAATTTGGATACCAATTTATGCAATGTATTTCATTAATTGTCTCACACAACAAACACATTCCACCTCGCGCAACGCTCGGGTAACCCCTCTAGTTATTATTATTATTATTATTATTATTAAATGTATGTTTTTCTCTTTGTTATGTTTAGAGAGATGATATTCATCCAATGGAGACAAATGAAGTAGATGAAAATAATAGTTTCAATGAAAGTAACTATTTTTTCGACGACACATCGCCATTCGAAACGGATATTCATCCAATGGACACAAATGAAGCAGATGAAAATGAAAGTTTGAATGAAAGTCGTTATTTCTTCGATGACATATCACCATTCAAAACAGATAAGGTATAAATTCATTAGTATGTTGTTACAGTAATGTTAGCATCGAGTGGATTTGTTAGCTACTTATAATAATATAATTGTCAAGTGTTCAATTCTCATCAAGAATTGATGGATTGGGTGCAAAATATGGCAAATACTTTAGGTTATGTTATCGTCATAAAAAATTCTAAACGTAACTTTAATGTTGTATTTCAATGTGACCGTGGAGGTACATACAAAAGTACACAAATCTCCAAAAAAAAAATAGGGACAAAAAAAATTAATTGTCCATTTAGCCTACAGGGTAAATATTCGTCAGTAGATAATTCTTGGAAGATAAAAATGATATGTGAATTTCATAACCATGAGCCGTCATTATATTTGGAAGGTCATCATTATCCACGACGGCTAACTGAATATGAATGTCGAATAGTGAAAAATTTGTTGAAAAAGAATGTCAAACCAAAAGATATATTATCTGCACTAAAAAACCTAAATCCGAAAAATGTATCTACTCTCAAAATTATCTACAATGCAGACGAAAAACTTCGACGTAGGGAGAGAGAAGGTAAAACTCAAATGCAAGGTGTTATGAAATTTCTAGATCAAAATGGATATGTTTATTATAGTCGTGCAAATGTTTTGACAAATAAGTTAGAAGATTTATTCTTTGCTCATCCAAGATCGTTAGAAATATGGCGTGCATTTCCACATGTCTTGTTAATGGATGCAACATATAAGACAAACAAGTACGTGATGCCTCTATTGGAGATTGTTGGTGTAACTCCAACAAATATGACATTTTCCATTGCATTTGTGTACATGCATGAAGAAAAACAGTCCAACTATGTTTGGGCTTTAGACTGTCTAAAATCGGTAATGAAAGGATGTATGTTGCCGCGTGTTATTGTGACTGATAGAGAAATGACTCTCATGAACGCATACGCTATTATATTTTCAAATGCTAAAGGATTACTTTGCAGATGACATATAAATAACAATATCATGAAGAAATGCAAATCATGTTGGGATGTTCTTTATACGTCATGGACGAGGTTGGTTAACTCTGAAACAAAGGAAGCATACAACAAGAATTTGGCACAAGTTGAAAAAATTACGAACAATTATCCAGGTATTTTTAAATATACATTATAATATGTTATAATTCATTACATCAACTGAAATTTGTTTATGTATTTCAGATGCATTTTCTTATCTAAACAAAACACGGTTGCCACCACACAAAGAAAAGTTTGTGTCTGCATGGACCGATAAGTTTCTTAACTTTGACAACCACACAACTAATAGAGCTGAAAGTCAACATGCCAAGTTAAAAAGATATGTCGAAACATCGCGATCAGATATCGCCAAATCATTGAAGCGTATTGCTGATGTTGTTGAGTCACAATACACAGGTATAAAAGCGAGTCTTGCGCATAACAAAATTTTGATTGTACATCCGTGCTACGAAATACCACATCTAAAACCATTGTGTCGTTTCGTTTCAATTTATGCACTTGATATCATTTTTAAAGAATATGAGCGGTCCAAAGAATTTGGATTTGTTTATGAAAATTGTGGATGTCAAGTACGTACAAGTTATGGGCTGCCATGTGCGCATGAACAAGCTATATTTGTTAAAAAAGGTCATTATGTACCGCTTCATTCAGTCGATAAGTTTTGGAAGAAACTTGATTTATTAGAATGCAAATCGTTAGAAGATGACAATTTGGGTTGTGCAGTTGAGGTAAATATGTTTAATGTTCATTACGAAAAACAATCAAGACCTGTTAAGTTAAGTTTAGCAAGGAAGTTACTAAACTTAATCACGCCGTCAACAACTTCAGTTTCGGAACCTGCTACTCACAAAAATACTCGTGGGCGCCCCTCCTTAAAGAAGAAACTTTTCGAGAAAAACCATATCGATTTAAACCAGGACCCACCAACTCAAGATCCACCACCTCAAGATCAACCGACTCAAGCGCCACCAACTCAATATCCGTCTCGACGTAGCATTTCTACTTATACGCCTGATTATATGCGGTCTAATTTGTTTGATCTAAACCAGAACCAGATAGGCACAATACGTACTCGTTCCGAGAACCTCTAATGTTCAACTCAACTTTTAATCAGGAACAATCGATGCATAACTCGTACTTCAACCAAGAACAAGTAATGTATAATTCAGATCCACTTATGAATGAAATTTCGTATGAATTTCATCCATATGTCACAAACATACAAAACGTGAGGGGAGATGGAAATTGTGGATTTCGTGCAATAGCTACGTGTCTCGGTTATAGTGAAGATAATTGGCGTCAAATCCGCTTAGATTTACAGAATGAGTTGTTAGCATACCCAGCTGAGTACGCACAAATTTTTTATTACGATTTAAGCACCATACATCACTCATTAAATTTCAATGGATCACATTTCGCACCAAAAGATCGTTGGTTGATTATGCCGGTCACTAGCTTTCTCATTGCTAACAAGTATAGTGTAATAGTTATTTTTCTAAGCAAAGATAGTCCATCAACATGTTTTCCACTATGGCTTGGTCCCCAAGACATCTCAACTCATAGAGTTGTTGTTATTGCTCTTGTTAGAGGTGATCATTATGTGAAGGTTGATTTACATGGAGCATATCCAATCTCTACTAATTTGCCACTTTGGCGTCACAACAGATCATCACGGTCTGCTGGATGGGAAACTGTTTATGCTGCTCGCCTGAATTCCTACATTTCTCCATTTGCAACACATAGTAATTGTAACAAGTCTACAGTTATAATATCTGATAATTAATAAAATCAAGTTTATGTTTTGTTGTTTATAATTATTAACATCTCTATAAATAAAAAAAATTGTTTTTTTTTTAATTTAGCACACTTATATATGTGCGATTCTGATGTTTCTAATATATATATATATATATATATATATATATATATATATATATATATATATATATATATATATATAAACTAAAGTTGTAAAGTATAAGGTTTAATCTAAAAATCAGTATAAGTACAAGGGCATTTACTATAAATTTGAAAAGTAACATCTTTATTAATTCACAATAACCGTCGATGCCCAAGTACACTTTAATATATTTTTTAATATAAAAAAAATATAATTTCTTAACTGACATATATCAACTCAATTAATTGTTTCGTGTATTTGGAATCCGGTTCGTGCATTTAGAATAATGAATTTGTGAAATATCCTCTACAAACCAGTGGCGAAAGTGTTAGTGGCAGCATTGATTTTTGAAGATAGTGTCTGAAGAAGCAGATTTTGATATCATAGATCGATAAAGGTAGGGAAGGCGAAAAACAACGGTAATGGAGGCATATGGTCGTTCGAGATATCCAGGTCTAGGTTTTATGAGAAGAGATGTATGATTGACGATGTAGGGGAAAGATGCGAGATTAACGATGTAGGTGTCGGCATTAGTGTAACTGGAGTTCAAAATTAAATGTGATAAACTAAATGGGCAAAATATTGGGTATTTAGACGAGGGATTTAGACGGGGCTAAGTCAAACAGTGGAAACAGATACTCAGTGAAAATAGGAAGATAAGCTAATATCCTTGAAATCATATATTGACTTTTTCAATTGTTGACCAAAATAAGATTCAGATAAAATAATTATATAATTAAATCTATGATTTTTCAAGTATACTTTATGTGTTTCGAACTTTTGCCACAACATTTTGCACACTTTACCAGCTTTCGTCACTCAACCATCATGACTCCTCTCTGCCGACTTCTCTTCACCGCCATCACAAGGATCTTCTCGACTTTTATTTTCATCAGTGTATGTAAAACCAGCTACGTTGCCTGCCTTCCTTCTTTCTGTCTCCGTCGTCTTTCTTTGGTGACATCGTATCTCACTACCGACTGTTTCCCTCTCCACCACCGGTGTAACATCCCAAAATAATGACACAAAATATCTGTTTTTAGATTAATAAATCGTTATACATAACAACTCATAAAACCAAGGTAGACAATACTTGGCAAAAACATCATTAAATCAGAATACTTCTCAGAATGCGGAACATGTGGTGTGTGCTCTGCACTCATCCCGAGCCCTTCCAAATTGATAACCGAAGTACCTGAAACATAAACTAAAAACCGTAAGCACAAAGCTTAGTGAGTTCCCCAATATACCACATACCAGACATACATAAATCACATACTGGGCCCCCACCCTCCATCGGGCCTCGCCCGATCTCGAGTCCCACTCAGCTTCGGGCCCCGCCAAAAATCGAGCCTCGCTCGTATCAAGAATGACGAAATTTCATGAAAGAAATACATTTTAACCCAACTACGGTGAAATTTCAGATAGAGAGGGAGAAAGAATGACGAAATCGATTTGATTGACGTGTGATGGGTAAGAAAACTCTGATTCTAACAATTATCCATCTGTTGAGTATGTACGTAATTCAATTGTTCACCTTCTCTGTACATAATCATACAAGAACTTCGATTGCAGACAATATGTTGAGCATGTGTAGGTGGGCAGGTGTATGCGTGTCTTTATAGGTAGGTGTTTGTATTTGTGTATTTGTGCCATTTTCAAAATACAATTACTTTATTGTGTTTAATTGCAGGTTGACATTTTAATGTTAAGGAGAAACAATTAGAAGTTGTAGACAATTGTAATGAAAAGCCACCTACTAAGAAGCAAAGTGCAAACTAATTGCTTCTTCACAAAGGTAGGTTACATTTTTAAGTATGTTCTTTCTATTGGGTTTTGAGCACTATAACACTTACTAAGTGCACATGCAACCCTAAATTGTAACATCCCAAATTCAGGAATATAAGTTCGGGGTGCTATGTGTAAATAAAGGAGTAGACTCGACGAGTAGGTATCTTAACTCGTCGAGTCGGAGCGGGTTTTGGCCACGTGTTAAGTGACCAACTCGCCGAGTCGGCGGTGAGACTCGACGAGTCGGTGCTGGGAAGAGAAAACCCTAATTTTAGGGTTTGCACACTATTTAAAGGACCTTATGTCCTCACCCCAGCCTCTTTGTTACCCCTTGAGAGTCAGTAAACCCTAAATCATGTAAACCTCCATTGTTGAGTGATTGGAAGCTTTGGGAGAGGATTATAGTGAAGGAAACTTGTAGATCAAGAGGCTAGCATCAAGGAGTTCGTGTAGATCCAGAATCTACTTCATCTTGGGTACATTTCTGAGGTAACAAGTCGTTACTTTGAGCTTTTCCCTTCTAGATCTATTCTTGGATGATGATTTGGGGCTATTTAGCATGTTTGGGATCCATTTCGGGTTTTGGGACTAGATCTGGGGTTGCAACTTCAGATCTAAACTTATCTTGATCCAGGAAGGCATAAAGTATCATCCCTTTAGCTTGTTTGTGAGCATTCTTGTCTTGAACCTTCTCTCTAGCTTGTATTGAGCCAAAATCAACTTGCATGCACGTAAAGTTGGAAACTTTACGTGTAAAACTAGCCTTAGGAGTCCAGATCTATGAGTTGGAAGCAGTGGGATGGACTGAAATCGTCTGAATGAGGATGACTTAAGTGAACTCGGCGAGTCTGTTCTTGGACTCGACGAGTCGGGTCGCAAACCCTAACCCATCTGATTATTATGCGGATTAGTGAGTTGAGTGGACCCAGTGAGTTGGACAGGCTAGGACTCGGATTGAAGGGCTCGGCGAGTCATGGGGTGACTCGGCGAGTCGAGTCGCGAATTGTGGGGTTTCTGAGTTCATGAACTCGGCGAGTCACTAGGTTGACTCTGCGAGTAGGGTCAACCAGGAAGGTTGACTTTGACCAGGACTTTGACTTTGACCAAGAGTTGACCAGTTTGACTTCCAAGGGTATTCTGGTAAATTGGGCACTTATAGATATGGTTTCATTAAGTGTTAGGTGGCGGAGTTCGTGGCCGTGAGGAGAGGATTTGATCTTATCTCTTCAGTTCAGCATTTCAAGGTGAGTTATCCTCACTATACTCAAGGGTCTAAGGCACCAAGGCCGGCCCTTTGATTTGTTATTTGAGATAGTTGCTATTACGATATGTTAGCTCGACATCTTGGTAGATAGGATGGTTATATGCTTGTGTGATCGGTTAGATCTGTATCCTGTTAGATCGGATGTGGTTATGTTTAGTGACCTATAGTTAGGTCTGACTGTCTGTATGCTGGTAGGAGATTTCCTGTTATATGGGCACATGCTTGTTATGGTAGTTGAGGGTATTCCATCCCGAGGATGATAGGGCCCTAGTATGTTGTCTGGTAGACTGTTATATGATTATCTGATATAGGTGCACATGTTTGATCGGTTATGTGGGCAATCCAACCCGATGGTTGTGGGCCGGGAGTATTCCATCCCGAGGATGATTGGACTCATAGTGTGTGGGCAATCCAACCCGATGGTTGTGGGCCGGGAGTATTCCATCCCGAGGATGATTGGACTCATAATATGTGGGCATTCCAACCCGATGGTTGAGGGCCTGGGGTATTCCATCCCGATGGATGATTGGACCTATAGTAGTTGTTGTATGTGTAGGTGTGTGGGCATTCCAACCCGATGGTTGTGGGCCGAGAGCATTCCATCCCGAGGATGAGTGGGCTCGTAGTATGTTGGCATTCCAACCCGATGGTTGAGGGCCAGGGGTATTCCAA